AACTACAGCTGAACTAGGTAGCACAAATCCATACCTACTTCTCTTGGTGGTCTCAATACAAATTTCAACTTGAGACCACTTGTGAAGGATTTTTGAAGTACTTTTGCATTAGAGGTAAGAAAAATGAAGAGAAGCTCATGATCACAGAGGAGTCACAGGCAGTCTGTAATCCAGTCAAATAGCTCATTTCTGGCAGACTAGACACATTGAATTCAAAGTTATAATGCCAAAAAAGATATTGTGAGTACATATATAGACAGATCCAATTTGGAGCAAGGACTCAACATTAGCTGAGCACACCGGGGATAACTCTCACAGGAATTCCAAGTCGCGTAATGGAGGTCTTTTGAGCAAGCCATGCTCTCCGAGTCAGTATTGAGTTAGGAGCAGCGGGATGGTGCGAGACCCTAAATGAAGTCAGTAACCACAGGAAATAGAAGGCCAGGGACATCTTTCAATACAAAACATAGTTATCTGAGAACCCCTCGATGGCCTGGGCACTCTCGCAGGGCCGCCACTTGTGTATGATGAATTGTTGGTGATTGTTGTTGAACAGTCAGGTAGGTGCTTCCCCCCCGATATATTTAGCTGAAGCTGTACACACACTTACACTTACTGTAGCTTCACTTTCTGTATGTATATTCAGGACGCTGCATGTGAATTTTTGGCTTAGTGACCACCCATTGTGATACCGAGTGATTCTATACATGAGCATATTCTCAGTGGGTATCAAAGGGGAAACCAACCTTGTAAAATCAATGATCTGTGACCTCACATTTGAGCATCCACAGAACAACAGTCATGAAAGTTTTGAACTAGGTTGGTGGGCTTGGAGAAAAAATGATCTGCACCATGCTTGACTGGTGTGGAAGAGGGATTTACCCGGGTTGCGGCTCGTTAGGATGGGCCTGCGATCCGTCGGGTTTAGGTTGGATTTTGGAGGATTTTGGAAGGGAAATCAAGGCGTCGGCAGAGTGCAAAAAGCGAGATCCAAGGGGGTAGCGATAGGTAGTCGAAAGTGGCGTAAGAGAGAGTCGGGGTGAATGTGGGTCGATACGGGGTTTATAGCACGAGGTAATCACTTTGGAGGTAATGTAGTCCACTGGTTGAAACACTGGAAGCACTGTGATTGGGCCCTAGCCCACACTGGCTCGCACGGATGAGCGTAGAAGGTAAGGGAGATGTATTCGGGTACTGTGGGCGCGTATTTACAAAGCAAACAATGATGTAAGCAAAATAAAAATAAAACGCAGGCAGGCGCCGGAACCAGCATGTGGTTCAATTTCCACAAACCGGCCCTACGGCTCTACCACACTGGAAGCTGCCTAATAAATAGAGGTCTGTTTATTTCAGAAAAAGACTTGAGTTTGCGGGCCGTTGTTCAACCCGATAATTTTGTGTAGTGCTGAATGCTGAGGACACTTGATAAGTTCAAAACACGCAGGAGACACCACTGGAGCCTTGGATATGGTAAGCAGGGAACAAAAATAATCTGTGAGCCAGTCTTGAGCCCTGGAGAGAAACTGGACCGATTTGGTCCTGGATAAAAAATGATGGTGCATGCAATTCTCACATTTTGTCTCAACTTCTTCACTTTGGCGGCTTCTTATTTGATCACTCTTCCGACGTACTTCATGGCATCTCTGATGCCCTTATATTTATCAAAGTTACAATATATATCTGGTACAGTGAGAGATAGGTTAGGCTTACATAGTGAGAAGTAAGTCGAGTAGAGCTCATACCTGGTACAGTGAGAGATACGTTAGGGGTAATGTCTCACTGTCCAGGTTTCTATATGTCCCGATTGGGTCAAGTCAACACTGCAAGGGATATACAATAAATTCAACATGTTTGAACTCCATGGAGCTCCAACACCATGTTCTAAGTCCAGTAGAAGTAATACATAAAACCCAGATGACACTTGGTGCCAAGATCCAAGAGGTGGGCAGCCAAAGATTGACCTCTCTTCCAATCACCGGTCCAAATCACCAGTTTCGTGTTTTTCTTGCTCAATACGTGTAAGATGCAAAATTTGATATACAAGACCACCCCCATTTTCATGCACTCCCTGTCAGCCTAGGTACTTACTCAGAAAACGGATATCAATTCGCCAACTTTCCTTTTTCAATCAGAAATGATGGCAGTCCAATATCTCACGAAGAAGACCCCCCCCGCGCCCGATGGACTTGGCCTAACGTCCCATGAGGGGGTCTTCGCTATTTATTGAGGATTCTTTCGGAATTTTTTGAATCAGCCATTCTCGAGATCAAAGTGTAATGGAAAATCAACCGGCTCCCTTACAATGACCAGGACCTCAAAAAAACCTTTTCAGCCAAAAACCACCTATTTAGACTCATAAGCATTGGAAAAGAGAATGATAGCAATTTTTTGGTTGTGCCCACCTCTTGCCAAGATCTCACAAATTGAAGTAAAAAGGAGACTAAACCCGACTCGTTCTGCCATGCGCAGCAATGGCCCCTAAAGCGCAAGTTTGAAGCTTCATTGCACTTGACGTGTTGCTGACCCTGGCCAGGATTTGCCAAAAATCCGAGCCGCAAGAATACTCCGTCGCATGCAGACGCCAGGGATAGTTCCCTTCAGCATTTTAGCCCGTTGCTGCGATGCCCAGATGGCGGCAGGAGAAAAGAAGCGGGACTGTGGCAGTGCCTCACGTGCCCGCTTCCTCCTGCCCCGCCAGTGGCCACGTCCCAATCGCGACTCCTGGCCGACAAGTCTGCACCCTATCCCGCGCTGTACCTTTCCCCTCGATGACTCCTTCTACCCCCCGAAACGAATCCCGCTTTACCCTCCTGGACCCGGGTGCGCGCGGGCCGCCAGCTGAATCGGCGCTGCGCGCCGAGCGCCGCGAACGGGGTGTTTGAGAGCCGGGTGCTGAGCCGGTAGCATGCGGAGGCGTGGGTTGAGGAGGAGAGGGTGACTTTGATTTCTTCATATATAATTTTCTTTGAGAGTTGAGTGGGGAGGGAGGAGAGCTTGGTATTGGGAGAATTATTGATATTGACTCAGTACGCAGATGTTCATCCGGGACGTCAAGTCGGCGAACGGGACGCTTATCAACGGCGAGCGGCTCAGCGCGGAAGGCGGGGACTCGGCTGCATGCGACCTGCGCAGCGACGATATTCTCGTTTCGCTACCATTGCAATAATTAAGCGCCTCACATTCAGTTCATTCATCTCCCTCTAATTTCCGCTCTGCAGTTCGAAAGAATGGGTGCCCATTCGAACTGGAGGAGATAAGGTACCGATTGATTCCTTTATTCTTGGTTGATTCTCTTTGGGAATAGAATTGACGCGTCCCCATCGTCCCGAATGGACATTGAAGCTCATTCTAGGCAAGGACTTGCACAATTTCTGCAGTCGATGTATCTCTCTTCTCGATACGAAAACCCAAGGCTCATTGTTCTTGGGCGCCTATCATGAAGGCAGTGCCTCAGTTTGGCTTGGTTGACTTCCTTCTGTCGTTCTCCACTTGTTCTCTACCATCGTGCAAAATCCAAAGTTGGATCGTGTTTCACGATCCAACGCAGCTTTCTCCCGAACACGCCCAGTATCTCGAATTTCAAAGCACTTCCACCAACACCTGCATCGAAACGATCGGCAGATGGGGCCCGACTTGTATCCCCGCTCCCCCGTGTTCCCTCCGGAGCTGGAGAGAGTAATTTTCGAAATAACGGCCCAAGATCGGCCGCTGTCGATCCCAGCGTTGATGCTGGTAGGCAAGCGTGTTAAATTTTGGTTTGTGCTTTCCTTTCGAGCCTTGCCTTCAATCTGATGGGCGTCGATTCCTTAGGCTCGAGCCACTGTTGTATCGAACAATCGTTCTGGCCGATCCAGCGACTGTGTGTGAAGGATACATCGCAGCAAAGTGGCAGGCTTTCACGGCTGTGATCCAATCCAAGCCACCCCCGTTTTTCAGAGATTCGGTCCGCCATCTGCTTCTTTCTTCTTCCGTTCCCCCGGAGGCGGCAGCGTTGATCCTTGTCGCCTGCTCCGGCGTCGAGGATCTGTCCATCCAAACTAGATTCACCATCCCCAATCTCCTGACCTTCATCAGCTCCCTCCCAAAGCGTCTCTACTGCAATTTGACTGAGATCTTCCCGAGTCCCTGGGAGATGGATTTCACGCATCGTTTATTCTCCCAGATCACGCACATCGCGATAACTGAGTATGTTGAGGACGAACTCGACATTTGGCGTGGCCTCGCCCTCATACCCCACCTCTCCCACCTCTCTTTCACCTGGACCCTGTACCTCCCTCTGTTTCCCGTTCTCCTCCACACCTGCAAGTCGTTGAAGGTCCTGGTAGTTGTAGATGAAGATCTAGGCGGCTCTATTGAGGACTCGGTGGCTGACCTCGCTGAGGATCCTCGATTTATCAGCATGCCAGCCCACATCGACTGTATCCAGGACTGGCAAAATGGGGTACATACGGGCGTTGATGACTGGTCGATGGCGGAGGATTTCATCGCAAAACGTCGATCGGGGGAAATAGATCGTATGTTGTCTCTGTTCGACTGTTCAACCCGCCCAAACTCCTCTTGTTCAGGTCTTCAATATCGCATCTCTGAGGAGGAATATTTGAAATACTATTGTGCGTGATCGTCCATTCTAACATTCGTGAACTTGAACGTTGTCATCTTGTAACCTGTTCAGTCTCTGAGGAGGAATATCTGAAATTATATGGTACATGTTCATTCATTCTACTATTCGTGGATTTAAACATTGTGCAGCTGAAGCTGCTAAAGCTGCCGAGGGGGAGGAGCAGGAAGAGGAGTAGATCCAACGAAGAATATACGGCGCCAATTGTTTGGTTTCCTTAGTAGTTTCGTCCCGATTTCCGTGCGACTGGAATGTTCGGTTGTATCTACGTATTACATCATGTAGATACTTGCGCACATTAAATTTTATGGTGGCGGACCATCCCCACTCACTCGTGGAAAGAGATTATGAGCCCGTTAATTCCGAGTAAAAATGTCAATCATGACTCGGGCCTGAATCGAACAGGCGAGGTGCGCAAATCCACGACAAGAGCAACTATGAACAGCACATGCAGACCATCTGCCACCGAGCCTCCTCCGCCCTTGAAATGAGCCTGAATAAACCGGTTAGATCTGCGATTACGAGACAAGTTGAACAGCAGCCATGATTCGGCCGTAACTAACCAGTCGTCCCAGTGCACCTCGGGTGAATGGTAGAAAAGTGAATGAAATGGATGAGAAAGATACAAAGGTAGGGGGCAAAAAAGCGGTGACTCTCCTAGAATGAGTCAGGCCTGATTCGACGAGGCGAATTCCGTGTTATATTGCAGATAACAGTTGAACTAAGAGTTGAGCTGAGAGCGGATGCGGACCATCCGCCACCGAGTCAGTATCTCGCTTTAATTGAGATTGCATATATTGGATGGGGATCGAGGTGGGCAAAAAGGATCCTCACGGGGAAAACTTGAGCAACAGAGGTGGCCATGAGCCGGGTCTGATTCGAACAGGAGAGGTGCGCAGATGCTGAGAATCAGGATTTTGATGGAGAGCGGATGCGAGTCAACCGCCACCGAGTCGGTGACGGTCTTGAACCGAGGTTGTATAAAATCAGATAGAAACCGATGCACTTACCGCGCAAGGAGTGACCTTACTTACTGGGAGCGGACGCTTTCATGCCGCCAAGTCGGTAGGTGTTGTCCTTAAATTTGGTGCGGATCAGCAAGAAGAATTAAAAGTTAAAGTCAGAGTGCCCTGTATGACTCGGGCCTGATTCGAACAGGCAACTTCCACATGCAACCATGTTCATTGCTGAGAGAGCTTCAGGTGTTATGAATGCGGGCCATCCGCCACCGAGTCGATATCTAATTTGAATTGAGTTTGGTTAAATTACACTGAAAACGAGAGTTAAATTCACCGACTCCTTTTTTTGTTGATAAAAAGCTTTGACGAAGGCCCAGGACCCAGGCCGGATTCAAACAGGCGAATTCCGCTTTATATGGGGCGAACTCACTGAATGAACAGCGAGTGCGGACCATCCGCCACCGGGTCAGTACCTGGTGTTATTTGAGGGTGGGTAGCAGGGCAACAACAGTTACGAGATGGGAGACGGTCGTAAGGATTTGAAGATCTTTGAATTATTGAGGATTTTTGCGGAACCCAGACTTTGCCAATCCACATGTACACAGAAAAGCATGTATAATTTTCTCCCAGCTTTTTGGCCCGTTGTTCAAGAAAAAGGATTGGCAAACGAAGCATAATATGACTCGGGCCTGAATCGAACAGACGAAATGCGCTGGATCTCCCTATGGAAGGATGAAAGCAGAGCGGATGCAGAGCGGATGCAGACCATCTGCCACCAAGTCGATGCCTGACCTGAGTGTATGTCGAATAAGCCTGCTTGACTTTGAAAGCAAAAGAGCTCCAGAGAACGAGTTTATTATAATGTAAGGTTCTGTCGTTCGAAATCGGGATTCGCTCGTAGGCCTGCCAGAAATTTGAGGGGAACGAATTGTCCTATGCAAGAAGAGACACTTGAGACTTCTTGCAGAATTCCCCCCCAATTTTTAGCCCGTTGCTGCGTTGGCCAGATGGTGGCAAGAGACAAGAAGCCACATGTGGCAGTGCGCTCACGTGCCCCCGCCTTCCTCCCGCCGCCATGACCCAATCGCGACTAACGAGTCTGCACCCTATCCCGCCCTGTACCTCCTCCCCCTCGACGACTGCTTCTACTTCCAGAAACAAAGCCGCTTTACCCCCAGGAACCCGGGTGCGCATTCAGCGCCAGCTGAACCAGTGCACAGTGCCGAGCGCTGTGAAGGGTGCTGGAGTGGGGAGTTCTGTGGAGATAATTGAGACGGAAGTATTGACCTGGTACGCAGATGTTCATCCGGGACATCAAATCGTCGAACAGGACGTTTATCAACGGCGAGCGGCTGAGCGCGGAAGGTGCGGATTCCGCTGCATGCGAGCTGCGCAGCGATGTTAGCCCCCTGCGTCTCTGCCTCGCAACGCGCACAGCACGACGACACTAAATATGTATCCGCTGAGGCGCGGGGTGCTCGCGAAGAAGACAGTGATGTGAAAGGAAAGGCCAAGAAAGCCTTCCGGTAGTATCCGAGGGGGCACAGCCACCGAGAACCCTCAAAATGAAGATGCAATCTTAGCGCCTCGCCGGCTATGAAAGCAGTATCATTCGAACCAGCTAACAAATCCCCATCGACTGAACCAAGTTTCGTTGAAATCAGAGAAGAATTGAACGATTTTGAGACGGCGAGGCCCGCACAGCCACTGTCCAATACACATTGTCCTTGTTTGTTGCACCCTCCAGCCCCCAGCCAGTCACGTGTTTAGGGTAGAATTGCTCGCTTCGCTCGCAATTAAGGGCATCATATTTCATTCGTCAATCCATTTCCATCTAATTTCGGCTCTGCAACTCGAATTTAGCTCTGAAATGCAACTCCAAGAGCCGGGTGGCAAGCAAACTGGAGGAGGATAGGGTGGGTTTGATTGTTTCATTTTTCTTCTGGAGTTGATTATCTTGGGGAGTAGTCGGCATCATTCCGGGCAAGGGCTTGAACGACTTCGTGAAGTTGTTATTGATACGGGAGGAAAATAAATGGGGTGCCTCAGTTTGTTTTGGTTGACTGGTATATCGAGGCAACTTGTTGCTGTTCTCTACCCGCCATCGTACACCGCCATCCAACACAGTCCTGTCTAGCAGCCCACACGATCTTCAATCTTCCAGCATCGAACGACCAGCAGAGAGGGCCCGACAACTTGGATACACTCTCCCTGTGTTCCGCTGGAGTTGGAGAGAGTTATCTTTGAGATAACGGCCCACACTCAAATTCACTTTGGCGGGCCGGAATATTTGAACCCTTCCATGATTGAAAAAGACCTATCCTTAGTATCCTTTCTGCCAAACGCGTGATATAGCCGCCCAAGGCCGCTGGATTGTGTACAGTGCCGATTCGATTTCAACTTCGATCCGTGTGGTGCAGGCGCCCCCATGCCGAGTCTAGACTGTAACACTGTTTCTGTTCAAGTAAGAACGCCGTTCCAAGGCTATTCAGGGCAGTTCGGATTCTCGGAATATCGGAATCCGCGGATACATCTCCGCGCCGAAACGGCGCCTCGTCCGTCCACTTCCTCCGATCCAATAATAATGACCAGAAAACGACCAACCATAACGACAACAACGAGATAACCCGGAAAACAAGCGGAAACCACAGATCCGACGGGCGGCTCGATTGGCCAATTCTGCTTACTATGCTATTTGGCTCGGCGTGGCTTGTGTGTATTGTGTGTACACGCCCTCAAATCCAAACAACCTTTATTAACTCTTCGCTCACACCGACACCCACAACCCCAAGCGTCTCCCGCAAGCCGTTCCTTCTTCCGTCCGTCCTCCTCCCGACCACCACACACATTTTCCTTTTTCCGACGACATCCAAGAGAGTTTCGGTTCTCCTGGGATCCCACAGCGAGTGCTAGCGACAAGCGACTTACCCGAAACCGAAGCGGACGACTACAGCGACTTTACAGCCATTCCGACTGGGCTTCACAGCGAGCGACGCGGGCACAACGGTACTATGCGACAAGATACATATACATTTTCTGCGACAAATTCGGATTCTTCAAGTCCACATTCAAGTACGAATTTACATGCGGTTCCGACAATGAGCAGCGGCAGCGGGAGGGCAAGCACTCCTCCGTCGGGTTTCAATGCGGGCACGGGCCACGGTCTGCGGCACCGCCTGTCGCGGGTCTTTTCACGCGTGAGGAGGGAGCATAAGTGAGTCTTTGTCTCTATTTCATTCTCATTTTTATTTTTTGGATTTCTGTTGGGGTGAACGGGGGGAGCGTGCGGAGCGGAGAGAGGCTGGGGAGGATGTGGAAGTCGAGGTTTCCCTCGTCCACGTTTTGGACGTGAGGGCGTGTGGGGTCCGGACGTGGAGCCGGCTGCGGGATGTGATCATCTACGTATGCCTTGGGGGGCGCTAGACTCACGCACTCCCCTTCCTCTGTAGCAGCTTTGCCGCAGCTACCGCGACAGGTGTCACCCCGATACTTTGCGGAGGGATACCCGCCCCTCTCCGTCTCCCCCTCTGTTGCCGCAGTTGCTTGTGCGGCCGCGCTACCGGCACCTGTGGCTGGTTTGCATGCACCCCGTCCATGCGTCCATGCGTCTCGATCGAGAGCTGTGGGTCGATCGAGCTGATGTACACGAGACGCGGGAGAGAGAGATCGGTGTTTAACGGGGTTTAACATGGTGCAGGGTGGGCTTCGCATATGTCGGTGGGGCGTTTTGCAGTTGTGTGCTGCGTGGGGTGCGCTTCACCCGTTTCTTGTGTGCTAGCGCGCCGATAACTTTCCTCATTCTCCCGTTTGCGAAAATTGAATTCCTGATGCTGATTAAATTCATCTTGGCGATTTTAGGTCGAGCTCGAAGTGAGTTGCTTTTCCTCGTTTTTTTGTTTGCTTTCCTTGCTCTCCTTTTTTCGTTTCTCTGCTCCCTTTTTTCTTCTCGGTGGACAGGGGCATTTTTACTTCCGCCGATGTCATCTTTCGTTTTGTTCGCGCCCTTGATTCTGTTCGTCGTCGGCGGATGAACGGATGAGGCGAGACTGGCGTGGGTGTGGGCCCTTGATTTTGTTCGCGGCGTTGTTCACAGCAGACGGATGCGCGGATGGGCTTTAATGGCGGGCCGCGTTTATATTGGTGTGGCGAAGGTGTCGTGGCGAGGCGCGGATTGGGAAGCGAATGAGCGCGCGGGCGGGTGGGCGGATTTCTGTTCGACCTCGCACTTCGCCTACCTGGATGTGGGCGTTGCTGTGGGAGGATGGGCCTGACGAGCCTGCCTCATAGCCACGTTTTTTGTACGCGCGTCCCGACCTGGGGTGTGGATTCCGTCCCTTGCTCGCCGACGGATGCATGTCCGACGGGTATTTTGTGCAGCGGGACTCTGTGCGCGTGTCGTGCTCCGACGGATCTCTCGGCGTCTCCCTCGTCCTTCCGCGTCTCATGTCGCAGCGCGTGGAGAGTGTCTCAGCGCATTCTCACTCGTCCTTACGGTCTCACGCGTCTCAGCGCT